GTCTTGTTCCATCACATACAACCATAACATGTGACCAGAGTGCAACATGTATAGATCATGTCTTTGTTAAAACTAAAAAACATTTTCAAGCGGTCATTCCTGAATCATCCATTACTGATCACAATGCTGTTACATTCTTTATACAACATAAGCTCAAACAAAATCTTCCACCAAAAATGTGTAAGTTAGTAAATCGTGATGGTTTAATCCATGATATGTTAAACATTGACTTCGATCCCATATATCATTTTGATGAACCAAATTCTGCTATTGATTATTTCATTAATAAATTGCAAATAGTTATAAACAAAAATACGGTAATAAAGAATATTCCAAGACGAAAAATATTAATGAAACCTTGGATGACACAGGGACTTCTTAGGTGTGTACGTCATAGAGATAGGTTACATAAATCGTTTAAGCAGTATCCAAAAAATGAAGTTTTAAAAATAAGTTACATTAATATAGAAACTTTTGTAATGCATTATTGAAAAAAATAAAGAGATCTTATGATCGGGAACAAGTAAAAAAAGCAGGTAATAATAATAAAAAAATTTGGAGAGCAGTAAAAAGTATTACAAATACCAATAAAACTTCTGAGTATCCCAAAGATCTTTTAACTATAGCGTCTACTCCAGAATATGCTGTTAATTTAATAAATGATTATTTTGCAAGTGTAGGTAAAAACTTAGCAGAGGCAAATGCTGGTTCCAGTGAAAATAATATATATTATGCTACTGTTGAAAATAACACATATTCTGGTAATTCCTTTGTTCTTCTGCCAACAGATGAGCAAGAGGTTGACAATCTTATACTGGGCTCAAAGGTGGATTGTGCGGTGGGTTGCGATGGCATTTCAAATTCATTCCTCAAAGATTTCCGATCCATTTTAGTTGCACCACTTACGTTCATTTTCAATATGTGTTTAAATTTAGGCATCTTCCCTAAAGCACTAAAAAGGTCAGTTATACGTCCAATATACAAAGGTGGTAAGAAGGATGTAATTAGTAACTACCGGCCTATTTCAGTTCTGCCCGCTATATCCAAAATTCTAGAAAAGATAATTAATAACAGAATAGTTGACTTTTTAGAAAACTCTGGCATTTTAGTTGATTCTCAATATGGTTTTAGAAGAGGGAAAGCTACTGAGGGAGCAGTACTGCAGCTAACTGACTTCGTACAAAAGAACCTGGACGTCGGTAGGAAGTGCCTTGCCATTTTTCTAGACCTTGCCAAGGCATTTGATACCGTTTCAATACCACTGCTCTTACAAAAGCTAAATAATGTGGGAATCAGGGGGACCCAGTGGAATCTACTTAAAGATTACCTTACAGATCGTCTGCAACATGTGCAGGTGGGCAACTATCGTAGTTTGGATCAGCCAGTGACTTATGGCGTCCCACAGGGGAGTATTCTGGGGCCAACTCTGTTCCTTATCTACATAAATGATATCACCCACAATCTACCTTTGGAATCTGGAAAACTTATATCTTTTGCAGACGACACTGTTTTAATATTTGCAGAAGATACGTGGGAAAAAGCATTTGAATTAGCTCAAAATGGTCTTAATAATGTCTCAAATTGGCTTCGAAACAATTTACTTTCACTGAATACCGACAAAACAAATTATATATGTTTTTCTATAACCAATATAAATAAAATTTCGGATTTGCTATCAATCAAGGCTCACCAATGTTTGCAAGACAATATAGATAAATGCAACTGTAATACTTTAAATCGAGTAAGTGAGTTTAAGTACTTGGGTATTCTAATAGATCAAAACTTGACTTTTAAAAATCATATTTTTTCATTAAGTAGAAAAATTAACAAATTAATTTATATATTTAAAATTTTAAGACATACAGTTCCACCTAAAATTCTTAGACAAACGTACGTGGCTTTCTGTGAATCATTAATATCGTACTGTGTTATAGTGTGGGGTCTAGCTTGTAAAACTATAATGAAACCTATTGAAGTTGCCCAACGCGCTGTTTTGAAAATAAGTACTTTTCGTCCTTTCTTCTTCCCCACCTATACTCTCTATCAAGACTGTAATGTCTTGACTGTAAGGCAGCTAGCTATACTTGCAATAGTCCTCAAACAACATAAAGAACTTCATTATGATCCAACAATTTGTAACAAACGGAGACAACATAAAGTTTGTAATCAAATACGCCTCTTTCGAACAAATTTTGCACAAAGATCTTATGCTTTCTATGGCCCTTATCTATATAATTTTATAAACAAAGTAATTAACATCTTTAACTTAAACTCAAGCAATTGTAAATTAACTCTTAAAAAATGGCTACTTAACCTAAGTTACGATGAGACTGAAGAACTACTCTGTATAATTGCATAACTACATAGTTGTTTGTGTAATATTAATTGCATTGAGGTAGATTATCCATATGTAAAATTTTAAATGTTTTGCATGTCATAGATATACGTATATTCTTTTAAACTATTTTTAAGTGGTATCTTTAGTGATTTCCTGTTTTATTTATTTTTCTTCTCTGTTCCTGGAAATAATGCTTACAGTTAATAATATTTATGACTCTAATGTTAATGAGTCAAAACTATGTCTATTTCCTTATATATACTGAATCGACATCTTTTTGTGGGAATCTGATGACCTGATATACAAGCATTTTTATGCTTAGTTTAGGCGTCAGTCTCTCACAAAGTTCTGCATAGCTAATTAAATAAATACCTTAAGGTTATTATACAATAAGTGTTTAAAATGTATTTGTAAACGGAGGAGAGTTAAATAAATAAAATAAAAAATAAATAAATAAATAAACAAATTAGAAACTGTAAACTCTGTAACCATGCTAGGGATAGAGCTAGACTCGCATTTAAACTGGAAACCACTTACTCAAAAGCTAACAACTCGATTGTCCTCTCTCGTATATGCACTGAGACAGTTGAAACGCTGTACTAACCTTAATACCACCCTTTCTGCATTATCATGCATTTGTCCATTCCAGGCTGACCTATGGCATTATATTGTGGGGTAACTGCACGGATATTCATGATGTTTTTGTCCTCCAGAAAAAAATTATAAGAATACTTGCAAATATAAAACAGACAGACTCCTGCAAACCATACTTCAAAAAGTTTAAAATACTTACCATAACATGCCTATACATCTCTGAAGCCTGCAAGTTTGTGAGAAAACATATCGAATTATACTCCCCAGTAAAATTAATAAGACGTAATGATCGCTACCAGAATAAACTGAAGCTCCCGTTTTCAAACTTGAAATTGGTATCTAATTCTCCACACTCCATGATAATTAAAATTTATAATCACATACCCAACAATATTAAAAATTTGGAAAACGATACAATTTTTGAAAAATGTCTAAAGGAATATCTTATTAATAAATCATATTATAATATATTAGAATTTTTCCAAGATAAACATATTTGATATATAATTTTAATGAAGTAATAAAAAAAAAAATTTCATGACATACCTCTATATTATATTAAAAATTCTGAGTGTGAAAATTGTATATTAATATCTATAGTTTTTAAATTGTAAAATATATGTATTTTTAATTTTAATTTTGGTAAGATGCATGTTTAATAATTGAATTGAATTTTTTTATAATATATTTGATTGTTTGTTTAATTAATAATAATAATTTAAGTAAAATTGCAACGCCCTTGCAGGGTGTCACATGTTTGTACAGGTTATGATAATGTTGTTTTTTGTACTATCTGTGGCATGCAATAAAGAATAAATAAATAAATAAATAAATAAACTTCGATCAACAATTCTATAGATAAATAAATAAATATTTCCAAACCTCACATCAGTTAGCCTAGCCCAAAGTAAGCACTTTAAGGATGTCAAATCAACATCGAGCTATGCTGCGCTGTACTGCGCTATGCTGTGCTGTGTTTCTTGAGCTCCGTTTTTTACAAGCAACTGCGCTTTGCTTAGCTCAGTATTAAAAGTAATCAGCAACTCGTGTAGTCGTTCATTTGTAAAAAATGGTTCTTGATTGTTTGTGCGCGTGCGCGCATACAGTAGTGCGAGCGAGATGGGAGTACGAGAGTGAGAGAGACGTCTGAGGGCGATGGAGAGCCACGCACCGTGTTCCATGTTTGAAAAACCTAGCACAGCTCGACACAGCGCAGCATAGCAGAGCTCAATAATAAACATAGCACAGTACGGCACAGCGTGGCTCAGTACGGCGCGTAGCGCGCCTCGCTCGAGGAACCGAAACAGAGCGTAGCCTCACACAGCGCAGCATATAGCATGGTTTGTTTGTATCCTCATTAAAATATTAGACGAGTGCATTGACCAAACATAGCAAAGCGCAGTACAGCGCAGCATAGCTCGATTTTGATTTGTCACCCTAAGGCTTGTGTTCTGGGATACTAGGGTAACGGATAGAATAAATATACAGTACATAAAGTGTATTAAGTATATTTATATAGAAATACATATTTAACATCCATGACTAGAGTACAAATGCTCGTATTCATCACACAAACATCTGCCCCTACCGGGATTCGAACCCGGGACCTCTCGAGTCGACGACACCATGAAACCCGGCGTACAAACCACTCGACCACGAAGGTCGTCAAACCTAACGAACCTAAAGATAACCGGTTGCATACAAAATCAAAGCTAAAAAGTGGCCGCGTGTGTTTTATATACTTATGAAGCTACATTCGATTCCCAATGAACAAAGAGAAATGTGTTTATATAAGGTTTTAGTTGAACCTAATAACAACTTTCTCTCAAAGGAATAAGGTTAAAAATAACAAAATGTTATTCGCACATAGGAAATAACATTTTGTTATTTGTTGCTTAGATATTTTTATTATTAAGACTATGATAGCAACCGCTGCTAAGAAACGGAACCAGATTATAATTACCTTTTACTGGAGGTTGATTATTAAAACTGGCCGTTAGTGTTACAGCGGTCATGCTAGTGTTAAAAACATGTAAATGAATTAAAAAATGGTTTATACAATACATACCCGATTTCTAGCTCAGACCAAATGACGTATTCCCAAAGGTGTCCCATCACCGGAGCGTCGGCCCTGAAATAAATTCTTATCAGAAAACCTGGTCAAAATGTGAACGTGGTAATTGAAATGTCGTTTTAAGCAATTTCAGTATAAACAGCGACGCAGACATAGCTACTTTAACATTGGCACAAGTAGAAAAAAACTAGTAGAATTTACCTAATTAATAGTTACTATTAGTTTTAATGTAATGTATTTTAAATTATTTATAAATTTTTGTTCAACTAATGTGCCACAATGGTTTTTCTTAATAATATACTCTTTCTTCATATAGCGCAACCGTCATAGTAATTATTATCTTAACGAGGATAGGTAATTAGTAAAGACCGTATACAAAAGAGGATATTGACCTATAAAGTACGGAAAGAAGGATGGCCAAATCGTACCTGATGAAGAAACGATGACGACCCAATATGCCATATATATCAAAAAAATCCTTATTTTTAAAGGTTTTAGAAAATATAAGCAAAATATCCATATTCTCCCACATTAAAAAGATATACCTTTTTTGTGTTTTGGTTATTTATTTGAAATTATTTGGAATAACATGTTCAGAACGCACCCATTGACGATTAATTTCGCACATGAAATGATTTAATATTCATGGACTATGTATAAATTATTTCTTTTTCTAAATACTTGTTAACCGTAATTCAATTAATAGTTAGGCATCTGATTAACTAGTGTTATTAGGTGTTTAAAGAACTTTTATCATAAAAATAATTAAGTAAGTACAAATTGAGTATGAGCTTTTTGTTTAATTGCTCGGTTTATGCATATAACGGAACGTTATATGTCATCGATCGGCGCCATCGATTGACTTACACACAGTGACAGTGATCATTCTGTGCTAACGCTTTCGCTAAGATTATTGTTGTGAATTATTGTGATTGTACTATTTTGGATTACCTTCTGTTCTTTTGACCTTGCCATTGATTTACGGACTGATAAGTAAATAATATTTTTGTCAAGACTTATCTTTCATTTATCCCCATACCCACCATCATTACCTTATGAAGGGTACCATTATTACTTCGACTCGATTAGTCAGTGAGTGAAAGATACCTGCATCTAGTCTCGTCTAACGACTTACTCTTTAGCCGGCACAGCCAGAAAAATGCCCCAAAATAGGACGGAACTAAAAACCACTTTTTAGTTCAGTCCTATTTTTTTCTCTATGAGGCATCGAATAAAATAGCTATGAGATCGCCAATTACCCTCTTCGCTTTTCGCTACTACATTTTGGGCTTCGCCGCAGTTGGGTAAAAGGTACTTGTTGATGCTAACCTCAAAAGTATAAGTGGCGATATTTTAAAAAATCGTGGCTATTTATATAAGATTTTCAAACGGGATAGTATTTACAACATAAAAACAAACCATTCTCACTATAGTTTATTAAGGGACATCAAAAATAAAAGTCAAGTCCAGCTCATATAGAAATCTGGCCATTGTTCTTTATGCATAACACGCGTGCAGAAGTCTTAATTCACAAGCTGTATCTGTAAAAGTAATAAATTGATCTTAAGTATTTACGTCTGCCTACCTTAATGCCGCGAAATTATCAGACAACATTAGTTGATAAACAGTTTAGAATCACCTTGTTTATAAACAAATTACAGTAAACACTGTTTCTGAAACTCTGCGTCCACACTACACTAGTTAGTTGTTGCTAGGTTGTTGCCCGAGGAGGTAGTGTTGCTCTGTGCTACTTACGTAGTAATTTATGAGAGTACTACAGAAAAAAAGGAAAACGTGGCGGTTTTAAATAGATGTTATGTATTTGATGACCTTTGTGGATTTGATGGGTCTTTTTATTACTTCACGAGAATGTCAAAATTGATTTTTAAATATTATTGAGTTTGATTAGGCCATCAATAACAAGGCAGGAAACTAAATTTGGAATCCTATTCAGCTCCAGCGAAGGTTAGGTAATAATTTAAGATTTCTTGCAACAGGTGAGTTTTATGTCTCACTGTCATATACTTTAAAAGTATCAAAACAATTAATCAGCAGGATCATACCAGAAGTATGAGCATCGAAACATGGTCACTGGACAACACTACTTCCATGATATTTTAAATCTCGCTAGATCTGAATATATCAATATTTTTCAATCTAAACTACGGAGGTTATGAATTAAATTACGATGATTTTACAATAGTTATCAATTAAAACTAGGGAAAAAGGAGTAACAGCCACTCGACATGTCGATTAACCCTTAAATTTCTATAATAATTTTAGCGCTCATTTTCTTTGAAAGAATAAGACAACACAAGCCTTAATGAAGCATTAAACTTATTCTCTCTCGTCGTCGTCAAAGTCACTGAAAGTGACTGTATGTAATGTTGCCGTTTTAAATGCTAAAAACTAATGAAAAGTAATAGAATAGTATCTCTATTTTACCATCAGACGCACCATGATGGTTTACCAAGATTTTTATATAAAAAAATGTTATTTGAGCTATAGCGAGGGTATGCATGCCACCAGTTAATTATAAAGAGTGGAAATATATATTTTCACTTACCAAGTGTGTTCTGCATTGAAGCCAACCTGAAAAGACGAGTTAGTGTAACAGTTTTTTTTTACCTTTATGTAAAAGTAATCTATAGCTCCCTGTATAAACAGCCTTTAACTTAATTTATCTTAAACTTAAAAATTCCTTCTAATGACTAACAACTTAATGGCGCAATGTTTTAATGGAAAAATGGATTCGATTGCGCCACTTCAAATTTTAAATATATAATAAACTTTATTGAAATAGGAATTACAAGGTCAGTACTGCTGATAGTGTCTAGGGCAATATAATAAACACTTACTGAGCCATTAGTGCTAAAACACAGATTGAAGGACTTGTCGAACCAGCGGTCGCAGCCTTTTCCGTGTAAGAGTATGCGCCCGTATTGGTCCAGTTTAGAGGGATCTTTTTCGTCGAAGCCATATTCACAGTCATCTGCAACAAGGTTTTATATTTTTACTTTTTAATTTGAAGGTACATTAAGCTGTTGGTCCCAGCAACATCTGAAGCTTGGGTGATTCCGATCCGCACCAGTCAGTTTTTTTTTTTATTTTATTTTTTAGAAGGTTCTCCACCACCACGCGCTGTGTAGGATTCCGTAGTTACCTGTCGTTACCACATTATATTTGAACAGGAGTCTTTATATTCTGTATCGAAAATGAAAAAAAAAAAGAATTCATATCAAAGTATTTTTCATTTGGACTCAAAATCAATCCGAAATAAATACAGTGTATAATTGGTAGCCCTTACTTTATATTATCTCGGATTGACTTTAAGCAGCTGCCATCAGTTTTTATCGGAACTGTTATCCCATTTTCCGATACAGTCCTAAATTTGGGGATATATTTATGATACCACTCTATCATGATGTCCTCAGGTTGCTGAGGTCAGTAGGCGAACTTTCGCTGCGGCTGGACGTAGCTTACGTAATTTCTTGCCACTTTTTTTTTCGCAAAATTTCTCTTGTAATTTCTCTTCTGCTACCAATTATCGATTGGGCAAATGTTTGCTATCCGTATCTTACCTTTGATCTTCTAAGTAAACTTGAACGTCTCCAAATTTCTTCCATCAGATTCATATACGGTTTGCGTAAGTACGACCATGTTTCTTACTACAGGCAAAAAGTTAAGTGGTTTCCCATTCGCCGTCGCCGTGAACTGCATATTTTATCTCTATTCTACTTCTCAGTACTGTTCAATCCAAAAGCTCCTGTTTATCTCAAAAAACGTTTCCAGTTTCTTTCTTCTTTCCATCTCATCTCACAATCTTCTTATAGTCCAGTCAATGAAGGCTTAACTTTGCCATTTTGAGTTGATCACCTGCAACCAACGCGAAAATTTCCGCAGGGGTTCGTAGATTAATATACTAAAATTGCAGGGTGCTGCATTGATGGCAAAGGGTGAAAAAAAATGCGAAATGGTGCAAAAACGAGTTTTTCCTCAATATCTCGCGACTGGCTGGAAAAATAGAAAAAGTTCCTAGTACAAAGTTGTAGAAAAATTAATTTCCTACAAAAAAGGTATCAATATATTTTCACGTATCTCCTATAGTTTTTGCACAAAATGCAATTAAAGGTGCAAAATAAAAAAAGTAAATATATTGTTAATGTTTTTTTTTCCATTTTTAAACGATCCTACGGGTCAAATTCAACAATCACCACTTACTGAAATATTTACGGATGAGTTTTCGGCAGTCCACTGAAATGAAAATTGTCTACCGAAATGGTAAAAAATGGCCACCGAAATGATACAGCCAAGAACATCGCCTTTGTAGTAGAAAGGTTACCTATTTTGAATTTAAATAAATTTCCTTATTAAATATTATTTTTTAATAAGAATTATTAATAAAGAATTAATTAATTGTTACTCCTATTAATTATTATTACTAATTATAATTATTAATATGTACATTTTCAAAATAACGAACAAAGCGCGTTTAGAAAGCGAGAAGTTTATTAGTTAGTAAATCGTCCCCTTAGTGCCAAAACCGATTATCTGCACTTTTATAATACCAATCGACCCGTCTCATTAAGCCGCATCTACAGGCAAAACCCATTATGCTCTACAACGCATACTTCCTGATAGAATAGCTATAGGTGAATAGCTAATGAATAAACAGAATAACTGCAAATTATTTCCAAAATTCTTGATTTAAAACCTAATAAACCCATGCAAAACACTTAAGTTTGTAAATGTATTACCGCTGAAACCAAGTTTCGGATTTAAACTCATTTTTCATGAAGACACTTAGAGTAAATATCCTGTGAGTATCCTGTAATTGACTTTGACTGTTTGAATTTTTCCAGATATTTTAATTTTACTAGATGAAGTAAAAACTAACAAGTCTGTCGCTTTTTGCAAAAAATATATATAATATGTTTGCGTTATATTTGAGGCAAGTAAAAGAGGATAGACCAAATCGATCGACAGGTGACCCTCTAGCGTACGTGACATATATCTGGGATGAGGCTATCGATAAGCGAGGTGAGTCTTTGGCTATCAGCCTTAACATCGCCAAGACTTTGATAGGGTCTGGCACATAAGTCTTATCTCCAAGCTTCTTGGATACGGTCTGCCTACTCAGTTCTGTACCTGAGTAGCTGACTTCCTGCATGAGCGTCAACGGACGGCGACGGATGTAGTTCGCAGTTCATGTCAGTGAATGCCGGTGTTTCTCAGGACTCCGTCCTATCCCATACACTCTTTTTGCTGCATTCAATGATTTAATTCCTCTTGAGAATATTCATTGCTATGCAGACGATAATACAGTGCATGCGGGATATTTTGGACACGCAGCCGCTGGACAGGTAGAAACCAAAGAGAAACGGGAGAATCTTGTCATTGAACTCTATCAAGATTTGGACCACATTTCGGAATGCGGTACCAAGAACTTGGTTGAGTTCATTGCCAAGAAAGCCCAGGTCTGCGCTTTCACGGTAAAACTAATGTTTTTTCATGCCTGAGCAACTGTGTACATGACGTAAGTACGGTCTTGCGTGGAATATTGTTCGCACCCCAGAGGATTGCTCCGCCAAGTACTTTTTTGATGCTTTGGATAGGTTACAGCGGCGCGCGACCCGCATTATTGTCGATAAGGAGGTGACTAAACACCTCGAGCCTCGTCAATTACGCCGTGATGTAGTAGCGTTATTAAGCGCGTTTTATCGACTATACCTTGGCGCATGTTTTGAGGAGTTATTGTCTCTTAACCTACCTTCCCCTTTCCTACAGAAGTCTACACGCGCTGGCTTACGTTGCCACCGATTTACTGTGAACTACTATTCCCACTGTTCCAACGTGAACAAAGAAATTTGGTAACTCATTTCTTTGTCAGACTATCCGCAAAAGGATTACTTTGCCCACGTAAGAGGGTAGGTAGGGAGGGTGTGAAGTAGCAATTCTGCAGGCCGGCAAAATGAGGATAGCTGGTGTGGCAAGTAATACTGCTGTACCAGCTATCTTCACGTCTAGACTCCTCCGTCACCTAACCTGTGTTTCCGGTGGAGTCATTTCTTGAGCCTATTTATAAAAAAAATCTATAGCAAAGAAAATTTTTTGATTTTTGCTACAAAGGTGTCATATCTGAGGAGTACCATGGATTATGCAGAACTTTGGCTACAGAAATAAGCCAATCTGATCGTTTGCCTTCAGAAACCATTTTTGATGACTCATCATGTGCAAGCGAGACAAGTCAAGTTTTTTATATAGAAATACTATCGGCCGCCAATGACTTCATCCGCTTTAACTTTAATATACATTTTTAAACTAGAAATTTTAGATTGAAATACTACTGCATCCGAAATATCGAACCTACAGTTTCTCGGTAAACGTACATCACAAACCGAAATTATTTAATATAATATTGACTCAAGGATCTCTAAAAACTTATGGATGTATCATATCGGCGATACTTTCATTCCCTGGACTCTTATCGGCATTACAGTCCACCGAATGAAATGAAATGAAAAATCTTTATTGGCCATGGTATAAGGAACAGGAAAAAAAAATATAAAAAAGAAACTTAACCTAAGAACAAAAATTAATCATTACATTTAAAATGGCCAATCAGGACCCTGCCTCAGCTTATGCTGATACAATGAGAAAATATTCTCTCACTGTATCAGCGCTGGTATTCTGGCAGGGCCTGTTTGAGGACGTGTTAGGCGCTATAGTAAACAAAATAACATAAATACTTGGTATCGATTCTGGCGTGACTCTCCGAACCCAAAACCAAATTCAACACCAGTCCCTCGCCTTCATTCTGTATAGAGAATGACAGGAATGCACCGCTGTCAAACCCAAGACTAGCCCTAGAGAATCACGCCATAATCGACATCATTATAAAAGAATACTTAATAATAAAAATAAAATAAGAACAAAAAAAAAGAAGGACATTTGGACATTTACATTTTGAAAAATTATAAAATTACATCTTAGGCACACGTCAGACAATTGCACATTAACTGTATATACATACTCGTACATGCACGCACATCCACAGATACGCATATATATTCATACACAGCACGTACACATACATACACACACAGATATATATATATATATATATATATATATATATATAGAACATAATATTCATAAATAAAAATAAAATAAAAATACTAGCTCAATTGTCGCCATATCACTGAAATGGTATGCTTACTATTTGGCGGGAATCCACAATGACGTTGTTGCGCGTGCGTGTGATCCACCTAAGGCGGCCTGGCTCGAAGGGAGCACTGACAAGCGGGATACAACAAAACAATGTTAACGAACCTATTTCACAAAAACTTACTGTCCATGGAAATGATAACTTTTTCCAGGACAAAAGTTGTGTGCTTGTTACATGTATAAGAAAGAAGGTAAACAAACAATAGTGGTTTTTGTTGATAGGCTATATTATATATTACTAGTTGACCCAGCTAACTTCGTGCCGCCTTAAAAAAATAGGGGTTGGTGGTAGAAGGGTGAAAATTTAGGGTTGTATGTATTTTTGAATGATGTATCATAAAAAAATTAAAAAAATATATCTAAAATCGAAAAAAAATTTAGGGGTGGATTACCCTCAATATTTAGGGGGATGAAAAATAGATGTTGTCAGATTCTCAGACCTACCCAATATGCACACAAAATTTCATGAGAATCGGAAAAGCCGTTTCGGAGGAGTTTAACCACAAACACCGCGACACGAGAATTTATACATATTAGATTGATATAAAAGTTAATTTCAATCCAAAAAATAAAAGTAACTACAGGGGTAGTAATTTTACGAGAGGAATTGGGTTTAGAACAGGTCACCGTGATGATAAAATGCCACTTCGTATTTTTTTATTTTATGGATTTAGAGCCCATTACTCAATAATCATTTTTGCCAAGGTTGAGAAGTACCTACTTAACCAAGAAAAAATACAAAATCATAAATCAGCACATTGCACT